TTAATTAAACTATAAATCAAGTGCGACACACATGGCTAAATTAATATTTGAATAAGGCTAAATATGGGTAATAATATAAATTATAAATAAAATTAATAATAAATTAAATTAATTAATATAAATTACTTATTCGTCTGATTTAGTAGTAATCGGCGATTACTGCGCCATGTGCTGCGGCTACGCCATATGCTGCGCCATGTCTACTGCGCCACACGAATAAGCTAATTGGTTACAGTATCTATTTTTTCATATTTCTGATATAATTTTGATTAATATAGTTGACAATATCAGGTATAGGACAAGTGATGATAATATTATGGATGATTTTTTTACAGTCAATTCTCATTCATTTATGCATGGCCAAGACTAATTAATTGTGTATTGCTAGATAGTAGATCTTGTGCAATTATGTATGTATCACATATATGGTACAAAGAATTATATCACAGTTTTGTTCACCATGTATGATTCCTGAAAAAGCATTTATGATACTATTAATCTTCACATTGTTCTAATCAGAAAATATATATTAAGGATGCCAATGAGATACAAGTCTATAAATTATCTTCAGCACTTTAGTAATCATATCACTATTTTCACTACTTATAAGAAAATGAACATCAATATCTCAGCATCCATGATCATTATAAATATACAGTATGAAGAGATATCATAAATATTTATTGATATTATGTGTAGAATCTATGAGTATTAGTCATTCAAAAAGTCATAATTTCTCTAACTGTTCAAAATTCGCAAAAATAAAATCTTGAGATAATTTTTACATAATGTTGTATGTGCCTGCATATGTGTTATTTTGTATTAAGAAGTATTTGACTTGATAATCCTTACTTATTAAAAAATTAAGTATATTTTTAATATTAGCTTCTAGATTATATTTGCTAATAAGATGAGCTGTTAGTAGTTTGTATAACTTTTGTTAAATATTTGTGACTTTAGTTCTACATAAATTTTAAATTATGATATCAAGATCTTTTTTACTTATAATTTCTTTGACCGTAGCTATGATGGTGAGTGAAGTATATAATTTACTTGCTTTATTAATTATTAATTTTCTAATAATCTCAAATCACTTAATCTTGTCATTATCATTGATTGAATGTGTATAATAATTCAGCATATTTTTAAAATACTTAATTTTGATCATTTAAAGAATAATAATATGTGTTATCTTAATTTTTGCATTATATTTATCAGAATCACACTTACTTATTTTTCTTCATTTTTCTATAATACCTTCTTTATATATGTTCAATTTATTATATTTTGCAAGATGATAGATATAGATGATTCAAAAATTATTATTGACACACTTCTAACTATTATGTCATGTCCATATATTGGAAATGAGTGATCACAAGTTCTCGTAAAATTCTTTTTCTGAGATCTCGAATGATGTATCAATATTAAATAACTTTACACATTTTTTATTGATTACTTGTAATATAATTAAAGTAAAAATATTGAAGAACTTAAATAAGAATGATAAATGAATATAAAGTAACAGAATGAGAAAGTTGACAAACTGAATTAGAAAAAAAAATAAATAAAAAATTGTAGAAATGTTAAGTATACATATTGAATAAGTATATGATAAAGAAATGAAATGAAAAGTATATGATATTAGAAATGGCAAGTATGCATAGAATTGGTTTCTTATATATTATTATTATAACACTTATAAAGAATATATGGTATTAGAAATGGCGAGTTATTATAATACTTATAGCTTGTATTTGATATCAAAAATATATTCTTAATAATCTTAACCCCCTTTTTCTTTCCCTTTCTCTTTCTCTTCTTTTTTCCCTTTTCTCTTAAAAAAAGTAACATTACCTTGCAATAAATAATGTTTATCAATGTGTTTACTACATCCTTGTAATAAACAAAATTTTTTTCTCTTGCATGTGAAAATGACTTGCAAATCGGATCAAATCAACCCAGATCATATCTGAATTGACTCGATCCGAATTGCACTACCCGGCTTTAGTGTTTCCCCCTTGCAGGAAATGTTTGCAGAAATCTTGATCTACATAGATTTTGCACGTGCAACAAATCTACTTGTTAAGAATTTCACACGCGAAATTTTACTGTCGAACCATGTCAAACGAGACTTTTTTTTCACATTTATCCGTTTCTCCGCCAAACAAGCTCACTAAATATTATTTACGCACAAAATGGCTCGGGTCAGTAGATTTGGAAATGGATGTGGAGAAAAAGCCCGTCTGTGGTCTAGTAGTGACTGACTGTCGTTCGTTTTGGCAACGCGAAGGTAACTTTCAACAAAATTTCAATTTTCCTAATGTGGTAGGTATTATTTGTTTATTATTTATCTTCATTCAGTCACGGTGGGAGACTTGAGACACGGAAGACCTTCTAGTATAACGGAAACATCACAGTTCTTGGAGGCCACGTATGCGGTACTTTCTGGAAAGGAATTCTTTAACGAATTCAGACTTTCGTGCCAAGTTATCCCGAGAACTTCCACAGTCACGGTATTTCTACAAAGAAATAAGCACTGTTATCTTCCATAAGCAAGTGATTTTTGATCATGAGTTTTTGGATAATGCACTTTCATCTATAGCTAAAATGGAGCTGGAGAATAGAAGACACAGGCGAAGACCCAATGCTGGTAGGCACGAATAGCTAAATTGCTATAGCTGGCCTGATTTTTAAACTTTTGAGTATGAAACAAAGTACAGGCTTTACCTGTGACACTTGGTAGTGTTGATCTTATAGCGGTGCCTGAAGATAGATGTATTAAATTTTGGACAGAATGGTTAGATTTTCTGTTGGATGATCGAACACAATATCAGGTATTTAAGTGCTTTTTGTACCTGTCAAGAATCAGTTGGACTAAAGTTTATTTTTTAAAAAAAAGTCGAAATGTGAAGCACTCGAAATGCGCGTTACAGATCTTGAAAAAATGCGTGACTTAACCGAGCAGAAAATGGATAAAATGGCAGAGGATAAATTGACGAGTGAGACTATACTATTGGAAAATGTGAGAATAAGAATTTTTCGGTTCATAATCTACCAAGTACCAAACTAAATTTGCTATCGATCAGTTTAAAGATCTGTTGAATTCAAAAAAGAGGAAAATCAAAAGTCTGCTGAAACTACTTGAAAAAAATGGTAAATAAGAAATATGAACCATTTGATACTCGTAATTCAAATTATTAATTTATTAAACAGGTGTCGTACAGCGTCAAGCAGGATCAGAAGATGATAATCAATCGGTTGCTAGTGGAATGTCTTTTGAGATGATGGACGTAGAAGATGAGGAGGAAGAGTATCAAGAAGAGTCGAATAGTCCGCCATTGATCGGTAAATCAGCAACACCGATAACACGATCAAAACAAAGACGCATCTATTATGGTGAAGGTGAAGATGATACAGAGGCAGAAGAACATACTTCAGATGCGGAATCAATTGATGAACGAACGCAAAAGGAGCAGCGGGAGGAGGAGGAAACGCAAGGAAAGGAAGTGCAAGGAAAGGAAATGCAACATGGTGAGCTGGAATCGCATGCACAAAAAGAGCCTCAAGAAAAAATGGAAACTCCCAGTCCATCAGCAAAAATGAGAAACGATCAAGCAGCCGATGTAGCAGAAGATTCTGGCGATAATTTGGACGATCTATTTCCTACAAAGCGTCCTCGAAGGAAGAGAAGATAATTAGTTTACGAAGGAGAAAAATATAATTATGAAAATAATCAGTCGCGCAAATGTATTTTGATTTAATACTTGCTGATTCGATTATATAGCTTTGAAATCGACTAATGTTATATATATTGGAAATTATTATAATTTTTACAAATGTTAAATATTAAAAATTAAGATGTATTCTACAGATAAAGATCTAAAAGCTTATTATTATTTATTATTATCAGGAACTACACAAATGACTATTAATTTAAATAATCTATATGAAAAAAAAGAATGCCCAATAAGAGACCGACAAAAAGAAAAATATTTCAACCCCATGCCGCACTGGTACAATAATTTATTATCAAATGTCCATCTGTATTAAAACACTAGAAGAGAACAAACGTGTGATGAGGTTATTTAAAAAATACGTCTAATAAAATCCTTAAATGATATCAATTGTTTATACCTTATGTAAATTCGACACAATCTCATCGGGTGCCGGCGAGAAAGCACTATTAATATACAGAAACTTGAATATATTTTTATAATAAATTAATTAAAAGAACTATTTTTCAGCCTCGCAAAAAAAACAAATTTTATTTAGTATATTTTTTACCAATGGGTCCGAAGCTTTATAATTTAGTTCTCTACGAAGAAACTGGATCACTGCTTTGAATTGGTTTGAAGCCGTGATTTTGTAAAAGTTCTGTTTCAGTATAGGTGCATTACCAATGGCGCGAAAACGCACCACTACTACAAATCAGAAACGGTAAAGGTTACTAAGTCTCTGAACTATGAAAAACAATGTGTTATTTTAAGGAAATACGAATATAAATGCAAAAGCATACCTTTACTTGTGTCTCGTTTTTTGTATCTTTCAAAAGAGGTCGCAGGTGCTGGCGTTGTCTGATTTGAGTCACCACTACCAGCGGCAGCTGTCGAGCCCAAAGAATTGCTAGCATTGATGGTAGAAGGCGGTGGACTTGGATCTGTATGTTCTGCGAGTTGTACTGACATTATAAAAGGTAAAGATATGTGAAAATATTGGTAAACTATTTTGGATATTATGGTTTCATCCCTAAAATGGCTTGTGGAAAATACCAATAATGCAGCTGAATTAGACCGAGAATTTGTTGCATTATAAATATTTATGAGTCATTCATTAGTAGATCGAAAATTTTTCCCGCGTTTTTCTTTTGAAACTTTGATTTTTGTTAAGGATATTAAATCGACAGGCATGACTTTTCGTTATATGCTCAAAGACTTTTCAGCAATAATGCCACGAAATAATTCATCGGCATTACTTTACACATGTACGACGACACGCATAAAACCTTCTTTCCTCTCAATAAATCCCTCTTCGCTTTTATTTACGCACAACCAGCAGTCTTCATACCTTGGTAGCTCGCATTCAATCAGAGGAGTGAGTGCATTCGCGAAATTTGTAGAGACATTTAAAACACAACTAAAAAAGAACAAAGAATTACAAGAGGATGTGAAATTGTTACAAGATCAAGCTGGTTCGTTGAGTGAAAGTGAGACTCTGAAAAGAGCGAAACAAGTTTATGAAAAAGCAAAGGTTTGTTATGCAAATTTTGAATGCAACAATAATATTTGGTGTAATTATAAGATCGCTCGTTTGGTTTACTTTGTCAATTTCAGTGTCAAATTTTGCTTCATTTATTATAGTTCAATCCTTGATTACTATTAGGAAGGCGCCGGCGCTACAACTAATATTGGTTCCGAGGCAATAAAACAATCTGTTTCTGAAATCAAAAAATCAGCGGAAAAGATTGGAACCACAGTTTCAGAAACATTAAAAGAAGTCGGTGAAACTCCATTCGTAAAGCAGAGTACAGAAAAGGTTTATTCTAGCTGCTCTTTAGTATTATGATGTATTTATTTTATGTAGACAGACGACTGAGATTGTTTTGGACCTCCATTTTGCTTATTTTCAGATTTCTGATTTTGCAGAGAAAGTTTCTAGCACCACCGAACCGATAAGACAAACCAAAGTATATAGTACAATGCGTGATACTTTAAAAGAAACTGTTCCAGATGACTCATCGCGCTATGGTGGGTTTATGGATAAAGAAACACGACGGAAAGCACGAGAAGAAGCATTCTCTGGCTTTGCGAATGGTGGAAAAAATCGTAGAGTTAGAGAGGACCCAGAGTGAGTACTTTATAATTAATGTAAAGTATTTGCTAAACTTTCGAAATAATTGAAAAATTTTGGCATATATGTTTATATACACGTGTGAATATTAAATAGGGCAGGATCCTCCGTAATTCTGCATAAAGATTCAGCTTGGAAAGAAAGTTGGAATAAGTTCAAAGAAACGAATCCTCTGATGCAAGGTTAGATTTCTATGTTGATTTCAGTATATTTCTGTTGTGATTATCAAACGCTATTACAATAAATAAAATTTCGTATGCGTTACAAATTTACAGGCATTTTCAGCTTAAAACGTAATTATGAGGATAGCGATAATATTGTTATTTCATATACACGTGCCATTACAAGTCGATTATCGGATACATTTAGTAAGTTATCGACAGATGAGTAGACATCATAAACAGAAACAACACGAAATAAATAACGTTCTCATTACGACTACTTATGTTTTTATAGGTTCCTTCTTCGAGGAAACTGAAGTAGCGCAAACAATTTCGCTAATAAAGATGGTTGATCCACAGTTTAATCTCGAAACATTTATGAAAGAGGCGCGTACATACATAATTCCTGAAGTCATGGAAGCTTATCTCAATGGGGATGTTGAGACATTACGAATATGGTGCTCCGAAGCTGTACGTATATTATCTTCTTCCGGTATACGTTTTCAATACTAATCTCAAGAAATAATTATTCGGATTAAAGGCATTTAATGTCATGACGCAAGGATTTCAAGCTCAGCAACAACAAGGATTAATTAGTGACAGTAAAATACTTGATTTAAGAAACCTAGACGTAGGTGAATTTTATTTTATTTATTTTTATTTTATCACAATTAGGAATTCGGTTTAGCAACTAAAGTCGATTTCTATTATAGTTGTATGGGGCTAAAGTTTTAGACAATGATATACCGGTGCTCCTGCTCCAATATAATACACAAGAAATAATAGTATTTCGTGATCGAATAACAAAAGAGATCGTATACGGAAAAGAGGACGCTGTCGAGCAAGCTTCATATATATGTGCACTCACAATACAGGAGGATCGAGTAACAGACCCGATTACTAATGGATGGCGAGTTATGGGTATGTATTTCTTAATTTATTTTTTTCAAATAATACGATTTTGACTTATATTTTCCATTGTTTTCAAATAGACATGGCAAAGTCTAGTTCACAAAAGATATGGTAAAATGTATATAGACGTAATAATGCATCAGAAAAATTAGATATCCGCCATCATTATCATCATCATCATCATCATTATTTTATTATCAAATCAGAGAGATTTTCATTGCATTAATATCTTTCCACCTTCCCTCATCTTATATAAGATTTTTGTAATTTCTAGAGCTACATGATCAACACCATCATTTCCGCAAATTCCAAAGAAAGCTTAACCTTGATTTTTAATTTATTTTGTTTGCCTTTCTTATTATACACTATGATCAATCCTTTGATGATATTCTCTTTAAGCGTGCGATAAATTTAATAGTAGATTTCTCATGTATTTGAATTTTATGTTGAAAAATGAATTTGTGATAGAAAATGAAGGTTCTATTTATGGAGCGATGTGTATAATGTGTATGTTATGTGATGAATTTTTTTATGAATTTTGAATTGTAAAAATCCAAGATGATGCTAGTAGTTTTTCTATAAGTTTGAATATGAATTTACATTAAATAATGTTACAGTGAAAAAAAATCGTAAAAATAATAAAAAAATTAGATTAGGTCCTATATCAAAAATAGGTCAGAATTGTTCAATCATGCCAGGATCAAACTTATCTCTCGCAAGATTTTAGATATTCTTTAATTAATATATTTCCAGCTCAAGCTATGGGAAGAATATTTATTAAGGATTCATACGGGAAACTTTTTCATATGATCGATTCGATTTTGTCACAAATCTGCAAAAACATAATTGAATTTTGATTTACTCAAAAAAAAGGATACATATAAAAATGCTGTTTTCTGTGGGTTTCGAAAATTAAGCCCTTGATTGTTATATGTTTCTTTATTTTCATTGTCCAGAAATTTACATATTTCCTCCACCATCTAATAAATAAATAAAGAAATAAATTATGAATAATTAGAATTCCAAACGTCAAATCATAAACCAACTTGAAAGAAATAAGTTTGGTGATTTACTCGATCATAATGTGGCCTTTTACACAGAGTTGATGTGTATAAAGTTAAACAGGCGAGGAAATTATCCACCCAATTATATTTGGGGCTATGAGCTCTCTCCAGTAACTCATTTAACGTTGTTATGGTCTGTTGAAAGACACGAGGCGTGACCTAATAAAACAATTATGATAAAATGAATTCAAGTAACTCGTAAAAAACTCCGGAAATCATAACCAAAGATACAATCGATTCCGTCAGTCAATACTCACCCTTCCATCTATTTCAAGTGGAAAAGCAGTATAAAATTGGCATAGTTCTCCTCTAGAATAGTCTCTATCTATCCGTATTATCTGTTTTGGTGTGGGAATTTGTGCTGAGGTACTTCTACTTGACGACCTTGTATCCTGAGTTGGCAATCCTTGTACTGAAGGGTCCACCTCAGCAAGTCTTGAAGTTGTCATTCCATCTTCAGCAATCTCAGATATATGCTTCGAATCTGTTTCAGGGTCTTCGGAGTAAGAATATGGTGTGTTTGTGGAGTTGGGCGAAGCCGGTTGTGATTCATGTTGGTTATGAGTTTCGGCGTTAACAGTCATGTTGGGGGTCGGTTTATATGGCGATGAAGGGGAGGTGACAAGTGAAGAATTTAGGATGTTGGCGGTTTTGTTGTAGAGTTTGTTGGTGTCCGTTGTTGTGATGGCGGCACCAGAATCCTCTCTCGGTTTTGTTGAGGTATATTTAATATCAAAAGAAATTGTCGTAGTAGTGTTAATATTGTTACCCTTATCTTGGTAAGTTACATTGTCCGTTTCCTGCTTTTCTTTTGCTTTAGGTACACTGCTGTTGCTGTTACCTTTTGACTCTTCTGCAGTATTAGAATAGTTTGTGTCACCTTTAGCAACAGCAATACGAAAGTTCCCCTTATTGGTGCTCCACGACCCGTCCTCGATAATAGTAACAGTCTCCGTTTGCTGTCGCTCTTCAGAATTTTTTCCAAGTTCACGTTTATCCACAGCGATGACATCGTCGTTTGCGCTATGGTCGACACCGAGTGGAAATATGGTCGCAAATTTTCGCCTATCGGTTGTTATTTGTATCTCATTTTTCGGTTTGATACTTTCTTTTGGTAAGTGGCCAACACTGTTGTCCATTTAAAGAGTCTAAGAAAAAAAGGTGAAGCCTGTTTGCTATCTTAGCACCAGAGTTCAGTCGTGCATAATAATACCTTGGAAAAACCTGTGCACGCGAGAGAGAATATGTTCGGTTATATGATAAAAGGCGGTTCCCACAATCGAAACTTGGTCAGTGCGAAAATAATATTTTTGGCACCACAATTAATATTTCGGTTTGTCATCCACCAATTATTATTATGTATATTTATTTGGTTGCATTTGCATTCAATTACAAACGCACATATAAATCGAGATATATTTATTTATATTTACCGTTATGTATTATTGCATCAATTTAATTACAAAATAGATGAACGCCATTATTAAATTAGATTAGCAGATGACAATGTGATTTGGCGGCACGAAAGTTGTCCATATTCCACAAAGTTTAAATTTTCGGGAATAGCTTGCAATGAATAACAATTACAAAATAAGCTACGATCATTTTATTACTATTGCTATAATATTTCTGATTGATCCGATTAAACGTCTCGGTTGGGCACATTCCAAAAAAAAATGAATTTCCAAATAAGACTACAAACAACCAATAATTGGCAAATAACTGATGCAGGAATCTTATCATATTAAAAGTGACGTCATGTTTCAAAGCTGTTATATATAGAAAAGTCAACTCTAGGAATGCTAAAAGTCCGGTCCGTATCGATTCCTAAGACTGGATTGTCACGCGGTCCTACGTTCCTGCATTACACGCGTTCCATTGTAATTTTCATGCATACAATTAACATGTGCTTAATAATGGAAGAAAAAAAATTATTTAATATTTTCTTTGAAGTGCAATGAGAAAAACACGTGTTTTATCTCAGATGTGTGTGAACGAAATATGCTATAACAAAACCAGACAAAGTAAATATTTGATTATGTGACATAAAATGAGAGCTGAAAGTTAACTAATTTGACTAATATTATTTTAATTGTCACAGCTATAACTCATTCATATATAATTTATGTAAATTAAAGTTTTAAATTGTATTATGCAAAAATATAATTTGATTAAGATAAACTTTTACTTGAATTATAATATGTTTATATTTATATAAAAATATAAATATAAAACTAATTTACATTAAATTTATCATGAAATTAAAGAATTATAGCATCATTAGAAATATTTTAAAAAAAATAAGAAGAAAAAATTAATAATATTCAAACTTCAGAAATATCTAAATGAAGAAAAAATTATTTATCTAATATAGTAATATGTAATAAATAAGTCATATTAAGTCACATATTCAAATTTTTTTTAATAATTATACTAGAAAAAATAGCTTATTTTTATAACTAGTTATATAATTTTTATTTTTTTTATAATTATTTCTTGTAATAAAATATTCTAATTTTAGTTTTTTCTTATTATATTTAGAATGTATCTGATCTAAATACAAATAGATTTTTAATATATCAATATTAAATTAAATATAATAAAGAATTAAATAATAATTAAAATAAATTAATTTGTTCAAGATCAATATTATTCTTTAGATTATTCTTTGCAGATTTATTATAAATATTAGAAATATATCAAAATAATAATTATTAAATTTTTAAGATAATTTACTTATTATTTTTTAAGCAACTTGCTTTTTATCTTTTTACATGTAGATTTCAAAAATAATTTATATATTTTAATTCTTTTCATTTTTAAAAATAATAAGTTTGATAAAATATTTGTTTTGCATATAAAAAATATAAGTTAAGTAAGTAATTTTTTTCAGATAAATAAGCAATTTGCAAAATAATTTAATAAATAATTATATATTATTATAATTTTCAAATAAATAAGTAATTTTTTCTAAATAAATAAGTAATCTGCAAGATAAATTATATATTATTATAAATAAATATTTTTTTTTAAATAAATAAGCAATTTATAAGATAATTTATAATTATATATATATTATTATAATTCTTAAATAAATAAGTAATCTTTTTTAAATAAATAAATAGTTTATAAAATAATTTATAATTATATATTTTAAATAATATCTTATTTTTTATATTTAAAAATATTAAAAACTATATATACTTTGTAATAAATATATATTATCATAAAATTTTTTAATTATTCTATTATTTTTTATTTGATATAAAATATTTTATTATAATAATCTTTAATTTATTTTTATATTAGTAATATTTTATTATTTTATCTTTTAAATTTTATATATATAATTGATAATTTAAGAAATTTTTAAGTAAAAATTCTTATAAATACTTTCAAAAAATTATATATTTATGAATAATAAATTTATTATATTATTATAAAAAAATAATTATAATTTATCATATTTAAGTACTTAAGATTTTCAAGTCATTTAGATAATAAATATATTTTTATTCTTTTTTTTACAAAAAAAATTATATAAAAGAATTATATAAAAGAATTAAAATTATAAAAGATAAAAATTTTTTAATTAGATATTATTTTAAATTTTAAAGTTATATAATTTTAATTATTATTAATTTTAAGATAAATATATTATAAGTATGAAGAAAATTTTTATAATTTACTAAATAATTTAATTTTTTCTAGTATAATTATTAAAAAAATTTAAATATATAACTTAATATAACTTATTTATTATATAATTAATTTTTATATTAAAATTAATTTATCAATTTTTTAAATAATATAATAATAATATTAATATATATTAAATATTTATTTTAATATATATTGATAATTCTAATATATATTAATATATAATTAATAATAAAAATTAATATAAATTATCTTAAAAAATTTTTTGATAATATTATTTTAAGTTAAAAAATAATAAAATCTATTTAAAAAATATAAATTAGCTTATTATTTCTAAAAATAAATTTTTGAAAATATGAATCTTGGAAGAATATTATAATATTTTATCTTTAATTATTTAAAAATTAATAAAACTTATAAGTAATTATAATGATATTATTATTGATAAAAAATATTTAAGGATATTTATAAATATATTCTTAATTATAAAGAATATCAAAGAAATAAAAGTAATAATTAATTATTTTCAGAACTTTTATAATTCTTGAAAATATCTGAGTAGTACTAAAAATAAATTACTTTGAATTTTATCATATAATTATTAATTATTTATTAAGATTATAATATAATTTTTATTATTATTAATTATTTTACTAAATATATATATTTCATTTTTATATATATTACTATATTATATTTAAACTTGCTAAATTTTTCTTTAATAATAGCTTTAAATTATATAAATTATCTTATATTATAATTTCAAATTATAATATTAAATTTATTAATTATTTTTGAAAGTCTTTTTTTAAATAAATTAGTATTAAGTTAGCTATATTAATTATATTTTATTTATAAATAGATAAATAAATTAAAAAAATAAATTATACTTTGAAAGAAATATTATAAATATATTTAATTTATAATTAAAATTACTAGAATAAATATCTTACTACTACTAAATTTATATATAATAATTCTATATAAGCTTCTTCTAATCATATATTTTTCAAATTAAATTATAATTAATATTTAATTATAACTTTAATACTCATTTTAGATAATAAAATTATTATTATTAATAAATTTATTTAATATTAAAATAATATAATTAAAGATAAAAGATTTATTAATAAAAGTTCAAGATTATTAATCTAAATATATTAATTAATATCATTATTTTCAAGAATTTAAAATTAAAAATTTTTAATTTATAATATTATTAATCTTGTAGATAAGTAATATTCTAGTAAAAAGCTTATATTTAAATATATTAGATCTTTTTCTATTCTTAAAATAATTTTATTTGTTATATATAAATTAAATTTGTCATTATATATAAAGATTTATCCTATTTTACATATTTTATTATTAAAATTATATAATTCTAATAATAATAAAGAATTTATTTATTCAATATTATTATAACTAATTATTATATCTGAAATTGAAGAAGAAGAATATGAGATTAAAACTATTTTAAATAAAAAAACTATTCATAATAAACTATAATATTTAATTAAATAACTAGATTATTTTTTTTATAATTTTACTTAAGAATTCTTGAAAAATCTTTATAATATTATAAAACTTATAAAATTTTTTAAATCAAAATATTAATAAGAATATTAATTCTTAATATAATAAATTTAATAATAATTAATATTAGTAGTTTATAAATTATACTATACTATAATATTATAATATATATAATTTACTATATTATAATTATTTAATAATATCAAGAGAAATTACATAGTTATTTAAATTATTTTTATCTTAAAAGATAATTTTTTATAAAAATTTTATTTTTTTTTGTTATATTAATATAATTAGATATATTACTTTTTTTTATTTTTTATTTATAATTTTTATTTTTATATTTATATTTTTATAAGTATTTTCTAAAAATATAGTATAAATTACTTAAAGATCTGAGTTATATGATTTATCTTATTTTGAAATTTCAAAATTTAAAATTTTAAAATTAGCTAAAAAATTTAATTTTTAATATTTTCAAAATAATCATATAATTAACTTATGTATAGATATTTGAATAGTTTAAAAATTATTTTTTTTTCAGAATTTATCTATATAACTTAAATTTTTTACAAGCATATTTTGCTAATTTTCTTATTAATCTCTTATAATATAAATTTATGTATTTTCATAATTTTTAAGTGAATTTTCTAATTATTATAATATTAATTAAATTAAGTACTACTTCTTGCAAATTAGTTCATATATAATTATAATAGTTTCTTGTATAGTGCTTAGCTATCTCTAATATATTTTAATAAAGTTAAGTTTATAATAAAACTTTAGAATAAATATACATAAATAATCAATATTTTTTATTAATGCTATAATAACTGACTTTTAGATAATAAAGTCTGATTAAGAAGTCATAATTTTTCTTGTATAATAGTTTATTTGTGAAGAATTTTCTAATAATTGCTTATCTTTACAAGCTTGATAA